GATTTGCAAATACATTTCACTTGAAAAAAATAGAATTCCACAATTGGTTGGATCAATATTCACTAATATACACACAATTTGCATTTTCACAGAGCCTGCACGTAAGCAGAGGATCCAAAACAACTGAACATCAAGCAATTTAACATTCTGATCACCGTCAGAAAAAATTGACAGGAAGAAAGCCATTTTGCTGTGTGTACAGTCAGTATGTCATGATCCGTATATTGTTAAAATTGCACACAATCAAAACTGTAGTTCGCTTGCATCTCAATAGGCCACCAAAAACTATTCTGTCAGGGATCTAAACGCACCTTGAGCAGTACAAAAAGATTTAATCCCATTACAAGAGTTTTTATTTGACCACAGTCCTTTGTGGCCCTGAAGTATACCAGCTATGAGACTACTTGAGCTGTATGTGGAAACAAAATATTTCAGAGAATAAATTCACTCCAGAAATTCAAAATACAAAATATGTAGATGAACTTGATAAGCGGCAAAGTAATGCCGATGGGGAAGTTTTCTTAACGCGTTTTACTGAATATTAGTATAGAGATGATATAGAACACTTCGAATTTGCTGATTAAAAAAAGGCTTTATTTTTTCAGTAATAAGCAAAGACAAACATGCTGAAAATGAAGCACAGAATTGCTACCCTTCAGAGACACTAAAAGGAAATTATAAGCTCAGTCAGGCATGCACACTGTCGAGTTTCAGATATTAATAAGTATCATGTGCAATTTTCATGATGAATCAGCTTCAGCTAGGACTATAAAAGGGCATCATTACACTATGAAAACTAAAACAGCGTTCATAAATAGTTAACAACTTCCAGGTTAATATTCTTTACAATTTTAACGAGTAACAACTTGAGAATAAAGTTATACACGAGCAGCCAAGGATGTACTCTTATTGCGAAGGGTACAAGTCCAGAAAATTTACTTGTTTACCCTCTTTCTTCCAGTATATTATAGAAGCAGAAAAAAAATCCTAATTATGGGAAAAAAGCTGAATTTCATTCAGTTAAAAAATTGCTAAGGATAACAATAAATTATTACTTTCATTGATGCAAATCCTAGTAAAGTATATAGTATCGAGATCGAAGAAGAAAGACAAAGCACCTAAATTCAAAAACTTATTTAGAGCTTGTTTGGTAGGCTTAAAAGTCATTAAAATCAATTTTTTAACAGTTATTTCACTATTTCCACTGTTATTTTTGAATTTTTCTCTCACTACGACCCATTTTATCTCTAATAGTCAAAAAATCTATTATCAAAATCTCTTACTTACTATAAACAGAAACTTCATATACGTCACAAATAAAATAAAAAAAGAAGAAGAAAAGAAATACAAACATCAAATGGGCACTATGAAATAATATTTTATTTCATCTTAATAATAAATTTTGAAACTATAGAATCAGGGCAATTTAAAGAGGATTACCTTCCATGGCAACCGTAAACCTTATGCGATCGAACCTAAACACAACCAAACCAAAACATAATCGTATATAATTCAATTACACACGCATATAAGAATTTTCTTATGATGCAATTGCACGTACACGCGCGTTGTGGATTTGGAATTTGGAGACAGAGTAGAGACGAGCTTGAAGAGTCCGAATCATCGACTTGGGTCCGTAAGCGGGTTCCAAATCCTTCTCTCACCAGCTATCTAGAGGATCAATTCGAGAACTGAAATCGTGGGTATCAATTTGAAAATCGCTAAAAGGAAGTAGCGTTTACATAGTCAGACAGGAAACCCACCGCCATCCAAAAAGCGTAGGCAGTACGCCTTTTCGATGGGCTAACAATGGGCCTAGGAGGTCTACAAGCGAGAGTAATAGTCTGAATTGACACAAATTAACACTAATCCCGATCTGATGTAGATCATATCAAAAGATATTGATAAAATTTGTGATTAAAATTTATAAATCCTATAAAATTTGTGATTTAAATTAATTGTCGCCTTTAATCTAAATTACACTGTCACTAATTAATAACTTTTAATTAATTTTATATTTTTCTTCTAATCAATCAGTGTTTAAATGAAAGCATCTCGACTCAACGACGACCAAAATTTTCTATTTTTAACATTGATGAAATTTACAATTGAAAACTTATTGATCCTACGAAACAAGTGGTTAAAATTAATTGTTAATTATGACTAAGATTTTAACCAGATTTTCTAGTGACATCCAACAGGGGCATAGAATACAGAGGAAGAATAAACGCGAGGTATAAAATCACTCCAGCTTGTAGGTAAGATGTATGCAATTTTAAGCAAAAGGTGGTAGAAGCAAAATTTAGAAGAGAAATGATGAAATCGAGTCTCGACTAACATCGAATTAGCACGCACATTCCTACGTTACATTAACTGTTAATAAATACATAAAGTACATCAGCCACTCAAATCCACTTTGAACTTCATAAAATAAAATTATCCAACGTTGAGTATGGCACGAAAAGGCCACTTTCACACTCATTACAAGACCCTGGAAAACCAGGATGTAGTAAGATTAGTAGTTCTGCCATAACTGTTGAGACTGCTTAGGTTGTCCTTGAGAGCCTTCAAGCGAACCATCTCTTGGATTTGGCTGCTGATGATCCTGAGAGATCCCTGTCTGAGAATGGTAGAAATTTGGGTAACCAAGAGCTCCATAACTTTGTGATGGGTGCTGGCCTTGCCTAAATCCACCAGATTGCTGACTTTGCCCCTGATAATTGTAATACGTGCTGGCTGGGACTGCTGATACTGTTCTGGAATTAGCCCCGTGAAGCCACATAGGCGAGTTCTCGTTCTAAGAGAATGAACAAGAAAGTATATGAATAAATGAGGAGAAATGAAAGAAACAATTTCAAAATAATTTCAGGATCAGATTAAGACTACAATATGTGAAATCAAAGTTTTATGGCAGCATAACATAATGACAGCCAATTCAAAGGTTAACATTTTCTGATTATGTACATGACTACCACAAATTAGTGAAAACATGGCTTAGTTTGTTATCTAACACACAAAATTCTAGTAGAGTAGCATGAATGAGAAACTAATTTTACATTGGGGTAGAGAAGGAATACAACAGAATGTCAAAAGCATACGAGGAATCATATATAGGGCCACAGAACAGAAAAATACCTGCTGAAGATTGATCAAATGACTACTGTCCTTGTACTGAGAACTTAAAACGTCATCATAACTCAAGTTGGTTCCAGAAGGGGCAGCAGGAGGATTCATAAGGAAGTTCCCAGGAATCGTTGTTGTACTTCCAAAGCCACCGTATCCAGAAGCAACAGCAGCAGACTGAGGCAAACTACTGACCGAAACACTGTTTTTATACTGCGGAAGTACTGCTGCCAAAGATTGATGGTACGTATTGTTGCCAGCAAATTGTTGTTGGAAAGCAGAAGGCATGTATGGATAACTCTGAGGCAAGAAAGGATAACCAATCATGTTGGCAAATGGTCCCAATGGGAGAGAAGGCTGAGAATATGGATGTACAGGAAGGTGTTGAGGCAGGGGAGGTCCTGATGCAACACTGGTTCCAGAAAGGGATAGTTGTGTAGGCTGTGTTGATGGAAAACTAGAAGTCTTCAAAGCCTGCAGGGAAATAATAACTTGAGGTTTAGGATTTGATTAGATGTTTTCTACTAAGAAAAGGTTTTTTGAAACCTTATATAAAGGGAGCTTATGTATTGTAAAACATACACTTCGATAATGAAATAAATTGATACTCCCCCCCCCNCCCACTTTCTCTCTATTTTCCTCTCTCTTCCTCTTTCTTTCTCAATCTCGTTCTTGTTTAATTGTGTTCTACGTCAATAGATTTTTCCATGTCGAATTCACAAAAAAATAAATAATTTCAGTATCAAACTAATACAGATTCAAATTGGCTCATTGAAGATGCAGCATGTTCCTGCTTGCTAGGTAAGTGATAAACAAATATAAAGTAATCTTGTTTCCATCAACTAAGTACAAATGCTTTACCTCTGGCATGGAAATTGCTGAACCACCAATGGAGGACGCAGAATTGCCAAATTTCGTAGGTAATGATTGAGTCACAGGGAATGGTGAGTATTGAAGATCAGACTCTCTAGCAGAGTGAACATTTGCGGCCAACAAAGTGCTTGGTAATGAATTTGTATGTGATGGCTGTTCAAAAACATCAGGAACTCAGAAATCAACATCAATTTCATTTCTTTTCTTGATCAACAGTAAAAATAACAAAGAGAAAAAGAACAGAACCAGATCGACCAAACTGCAAAACATGGAGATATCAAAAATAAAAAGATATAGTAAATTAAGAATTTCATTATTGAGCACAAATTAGAAAAAAAAAAAAAGAAAAAAAATGAGAAATACAAAGAGAACTGGGACTGAAAAGCGATGTTATGATGCTCGGACTCAGGTACGGGTATGGGAACATATCTAGGTGTCGGATCTTTTATTTTTTAAAATGTAGGATTCGGGGACATGATTAAAAAGAGTCCAATTTTCGGACACGAGTACGTAGATACATCTTTCATACTTCAATTTTTTTACTAATTCAAGATGTCATTTTGAATAAACCAAAATCAAATATTTACAAAAAAGGAAATGGGTATTGAATAAGAAATTAAGACGAATAAAATAGAATTTTAGGATTTAGTTTTCAATTATGGACATTATTAAATGTTATATAAAATAGCATATAATGGACTTGATTGCAATTTGAACTTAGCGAAGAACCAAGCACAAACGGGGGGAAAAAAAAGAAGAAAGAAGAAGAAGCAAAAACAACGAAGTGTCCGATTGAAACTTGGAAGATCCAACACATCCCATACCCATGTCGTGTGGTGTCCGACACGGGGGCACTCCAACTATTTCGAAGAGTCCGAGCAACACTCTCTCAACGTGCTGCAGTAAGAGTTCACTAGAAACTACAGACAAGATTCACGTTCAAATACTATTATCTCAATGTCCTGATAAAACTATCCCTAACAATCCCCAATCTTTCCCTGCCAATAATCTCACAAGTTCAACATTTGCATGCCAAAAGTTGGCCCTTCCGCCCTAAACATCAAGAATCACAAGATCAATGCTAAGGACAACTACTGCCAATACAGTAAGACTCCATCATTGTGCAGGGCTAGTGTAAGAATCTGTCCAACCAATTTTTCCCTCCCAACAACACTAACAAAGAATAATAGTGGAATCTCTCCATTGTAGTAGATTAAAAACTAAAATAGTGAGAGGAAGGTCTAATAGTAAGGTTGGATAAATATATAAGCCTAAACCATAAACTATCGACAGATGGATACGGCAGTGGTCTCAAAAATCCAATTTGAAAGGTGAGCCAGATGATGGGTGCGGTGAATGAATCCAAAAAGGAGAGGGAGGAAAGCACGTGAAAATTTGTACAAGCCTAGTCCCTCTTCAATAGGTAATAAAATCTTGACTTCAACAAATACATCAACTTTCATGCTACTTCTCTGTCCATTTCAATTTTGCATATATATATTCAAACATCTGGCAGCATCAATTTTTTCTCCTTTGTATATATCAATGATATAACAATTCAGTCATTTTCAGATCTAAAAACCTGTAGCATAGAACATGTTTTACTGTGCTTCTTTCAAGTGGCTTCTTCTACAGAAGTAGCCAAATGTGGCTTATTCTGGGAATATAATTTTGGCTACTTCTGTAGAAGAAACCATTAAAAGAAGCAAGGGAAAACATGCTAACAAAAATCCCTTTTCTTCTGGAATGTCACATAATTGTTTAGGCAACTTGTTTTGTGTTATTTCAACATAGTATTCAGGTAAGATGACCTCAGATAATAAATCAATTAATCTCAAAACCTGAACAAAGGACTAAATATCTATTTTTACCATAACATTCGAGTAGGGAGTCAGATTTTGAATCTGGGAGCTCGTTTGAGATTGAGCATATGCAACATTTAGGTGTTGGGCGTTATCAAATGTATAATCAGTGTTAGGCGTGGGAAAAGCATATTGATTTCCATGAGCCATTTCAATGTTCACAGGCTTCAATTCCTCTGGTTGTGATGCATCATAACTCCCACTACTCGCACCAGTTCTGTGGAATAAATTATCATCAGGCGCATTTTTAAGAGAATCATCTCCAAAATACTCAGAATTTCTGCAACAAGAGCACATTTAGATAAGTTTATCAACTTTAAGGAAAAAGGAACACTACTTAATATTAAAGGATTCCAAGAGCACTCTACCTATTGTCTGAATGATCAATAGATGAAACATCTGCATCTCTATGAACTTCTTCCAAGTTAGCTTTAACAGGTGTGGTTGCCGAAGGCCCGGAAGAAAAGACAGCACTCATTCCAGATCCAAAGCTACCAAAGCTCAAGTGTGAGCAGTCAGCAGTTTGAACTTGTAAATGATCTGGTATTACCACAGAAGGGCCATCAGCATCAGCAGGCAGCCCCTGGTCATCTTGTTGCACACTTAGTTGTTGCAAGTTTGCGGCGACTGATGATACCGAAACACCAACTTCTTCAACTGCAACATCATAATACCACAAAATGCTCAAGGTACACCAAATAGATAAAAAATCAAAATAAAATTAACCACAGAATGCCCAAAAATTAGCATATAGAATAAGTGTAGTGTATGTAAATGGTTTCACTTGCTGAAGAATTTTTCAAAACCCCACTAATTTAAAGTACCCATATTGAGTTCTTAGAATCAGTAGTACTGCAAAAACATAAAAATTATAAGAGAAGTGCTCCAGGCCACATGCCAATCATGATATTAGCAAGTAGTTATATAACTATTTAAGGAACGCCCAATAAAATTTTTGAAATCTCAATTAATCTAGATGTGGTTCACAAGAAATTCAATATACTCGACAACTATCAGTTCTACAAGTAAAATACGAGTATCTAAAATTCCCTTAGAGAAGAGATAATGGACTTGCACATGTGTTCATATTGTAAATCTTTTAGTTCTAAGCAAAAAACATAAGCATAGTCACCTTCCTCATTCTCGTAAGGATGACCATGATGCTGGTATGAGCCCATGTTTTCATATAAGTGGTCCTCGAATAAAGATGCACCTCCAGAATTATCCTCTGGAATATTCCTATTGGAAATAGAAGTTGATACCATGTCATTCGTGCCAAGATTTTCAATATTATCATCTTCTGCATTCCAAACCTCCTCCTCAGTCTCTGAATGTTGATGGATCCCATCGAAAGGTAAGTCAGATGCATCTGGATGCAGCTCGGGCTCTACAGATGGTTCTGACACAGCTTGCATTTTAGCTGCCACTGGCCTCTCAATAGAAGGCCACTCATCAATGGCAGAAACATCCTGAGATGAATTATGATGCGAGGTAGTGGAAGAATGTCCTTCAACATGGTGACGATTACCATTGTTGGCTACATTATGAGCACTAGTTGCTTTCTTCTGTGGTCTGCCCATCTTCACAATGTCCGCCATTGTTACTTGGCCTGGAACACCCACCCAAGCAGGTTGATAACTAGGAGGATGCAATCCAGATGAAACACCATAAGCTGCATCATCTGACGATGCTTTATATTCAGTGGTAGCAACATCGCTGCAGCATACAAGCAAAAAAATGAGCATGGCATTCAGAGAAAGAATTCGTAAATTGTGCCCATTGTGGCAGAATGATTAGATTCCTTGGTTAAATTGACAATGTATAAAAATATGAAGTTATATCTAGCACGTTGATTAACAATCAAATTCCTAAATTTCGAGGTTCAGAGTAGAGCAATTGGAAAACTTAAAATATTACTGTTCAACGCAATGAAGAAACGAGATTGAAACATTTGGACACTGCATTACAATCCAAACAGTCCAAATGAATCTAGCTGGAAAGGATGTATCAAGCATGATACCACGACAACTAGATGAAAAACGTAACCACATTCGCATAGTAAAATTAAACTGCAAAAGGATTATATAAGGCATCATTATATAATCACCTAAAATCAGTTCCTTAGCAATTTTTCTGCAATGTATGATAACAAAGACTGAGTTTACCATATAAAATGTCTATGTAACTCTAAACAGTAGATCCTAATATTTTTCCACGTTGCAACCCCAAACCAAGAAGTTGTATTAACCAACATATAAACAGGACCAACCTGAGGGCTGGAGGTTGTGTGTTTGTAATACTTCCTGTCATAATAGACACTGAAGTGGAAGTATTTGGATAAGAACTTGATCCACTTTCTTTCTTGTACGTGCCTTTTCCATGCAAAGGACCAGACTCTGATACAGAATATGGTACTTAAACATTTAGCAATGTCATTCAGCAATAAGCAATTGCATCAAATATTGCGTTCGAACAATTTTCATACCAGAAGAATTATATGGCGTTGAACCACCACGCCAAAGAGATCGGTCTGAACTATTCTTGCTGCCTCTATTTGAATTATTACTAGCACCACGAGACCTCGATTCAGAGGTATCTTTATTCTGAGACAAGAAAAATTGAAAGGATACGAATGAATTCCAAAGAAATCTGAAACTTGAACATAAAACACAGGAAAAAAAATCTTCCAAGTTTCCACCATTGATTCTAGCCCATTAAACAAATGACAGTTGTAGTGCACTAATTTGGTCTTGTTTTCCTCATAACAGTGTCCTTTTCTTTCCTTCAAGTGAAAGTATTAAGGGTCCACCATGGTGGAAGACCATAATTATTCCATCCGAAATGTGGGTAAAGAATTAAATGAAAACTTCTCCCAACTTTAGAAGGTTTCAAGCATAATTCAAGTAATGGAAGGACAACCATAAGGAAAAGGAAAAGAGAGAATCAGAAAGCAAAAAATGTGAATCACGTACCTCTTTTTTCTTTTCTCGTTTGCTCTTCACCTCGTGAAATGGATCTAAACAAATTGTAAAATCAATATTAGAGATAACTTCAAATCAATAATAAGTATGGAAGTACAAATTCCTCATGTGGGTATAGATATTTAGAATACAATTCAACGAACACAAAGCTAGAGAGAAAAAAAAATATATGTCATTAAGTTGCTGGAAGTAGCAATGATACAACTTACAATGTATAAGGACCAATCAGCTATTATTCAATGCGGTTCAACTCAGAGTAATGGTTGTAACTTCACGTATTATGACGTGCTGAAAATACTTATTTTTTCTCTTACAGTTTGGTAACTGAAAGTACCTCTCTCCCAAAAACAAGAAAAAAAAATTCCATGTATACTAATAATTGTGTTTCTAACAGCATTCAGGTCGTCAAGTTAGCCCTCGTTTGGCCCCCATTATTTTCCATTAAATTATAATTCATTTTTCTCTATCTTCTTATCAACCATACATTCTCCAATAAAATAATATTACACATAAAGCCAAAAACTTTTACTTCTTTTTTAACCACACATTCTTCAAAAAAAATTAATACTCCTCTCATTATAATGTGGAATAATGGGGGCCAAGCAGGCCCTTAATTACTTGCTCCATTGAAGACTGTAAAATAATTTGAAAATACAACTATACAAAATGCTTGCGAAAGATACATATATTAAGTTACTATCAATATTGAAGCCAATAGACATATTTTATCAATACTGCATATAAATATCAGATAAAAATCAAATCTTGAAAATTTTAATTCATTCATGTAAACTAAAAAAGTAGTAACCTCTAAAGCACCGTAAATGAATGGGAAAAAAAAACCAGGATTTCTCGTTCCCTCGGTTTTCTCATTAAACAGATGTCAAAGAAGCAACACAAAAAACTAACTCCTCTGCAGTCTTGAATAGCATTCTCGATAAACGCCTAAAAACACAAAGAACGTCGAACAAGGCTCCAAAACAATAAATCGGAAGAAGGTAAACAGAGAAAAAAAATGTGAAGTAAATTAAAACTATAGGAAAGTCATAAAACAAAGCCCAAAAGAAGGGGGAGGGGGGAGGTATTAAAACTAAACCGCATGCATTAATACGCGCATGTGTGTAACAAAAAACAAAACCTAGAAACCGAAATCAAAATCAAAATCCAAATCAAAATCAATAAAGATTAAATCTTTAGGGTTTTTTAAGCATAAACCTTGAGAGAGGAGTCGATGGACGGCCTCGTTAGGGTCCATATTGCAATCCTTTAGGGTGGCATAGATCTCAGCCTCAGGACAATTAACTATCTCCTTTAAGCTCAGAACCATCTTCCTCGACCCCGCCGGTATTGCTTGGACTCCATTGCCACTGTTCCCCTTGCTCGTACTCATCTTTTCCAGTTGGATCTAACCTAATATTTATTGCAAAGACAATTTATCCTTTTAGTTCTGCAGCTTCTCTCTCATACACAAAACATACACTGGGTGAGTGGGTTTTATAGAAGAAGACGCCGCAAATAGGAGATATATAAAAAGAACTGCGGTTTCGGAAACCCTTCCCTCTAAGAAGTCTTTCTCTCTCTATAGGTATATCTCTCTGTGTGTCGATTTTTTTTGGTTGGAGTATGGAACTCTCAAATTGTGCATAATAATAGTAGTGTAATTAAAATTGTATTGTTTGGAGTTCAAAATTTTGATTTGTTAGAAGGTGCTTAGCTTTGTTGTCTTTTAATTTATTTTTAATCATATTCCTACAATAAAATAATTTACACGTAAATTTAAAATTTTGTCCTACTTTTTAACAATACATTGTATAAAAAAATATTATTTAAAACATATTTTTTTCAAATTAAGCCCCTGTTTGATCCACATTAAATTACATTTCATTACATTCTATTTTTCTCTCTTCTATTTTTAACCATACAATCTTCCATAAAATAATATTACACGTAAATCGAAAATTTTTCCTTCTTTTTCAACCATTCTTTTTTCAACAAAACACTATTTCCCCATTTTCATTACCAAAAATGGGAGCCAAACAGGGACTAAAGGCCACTAAATAGGGATTTAATGTAAATGAATATTTATATATGATTTTGCCAAATAAATATTATTTTCAAAAATGATAATTAGCACAAAACGTTCCTACCTTTCGTGTTTTTGTGGATTACATCCCCACCTTTACCAAAGGGTAATTAGCACAAAAGGTCCCTACCTTTCAATATTATTGTGCAAAACGTCCCTACCTTTCTTTTTTGGCATAATTAGCACAAAAAGTCCCTACGTTTCAATGTTTTGTGCAAAACGTCTCTACCTTTCATTTTTTAACATTTTCACCCCTACCTTTCACCATTCATTGCGCAAAGGATAATTGGCGCAAAACATCCTTACCTTTCGAGGTTATTGTGGAAAACGTCCCTACCTTTCATTTTTTGGCATGGGTAATTAGCACAAAACATCCCTACCTTTCGATGTTTTTGTGGAAAACGTCCCTACCTTTCATTTTTTGATGGATTACACCCTTACCTTTACATTTTTTTGCGCAAAACGTCCTTCTGTCAACTCTCCGTTAAAATGCTCCGTTAAATCAAAAAGGTAATTAGCACAAAAGGTCCCTACCTTTCAAAGTTATTGTGCAAAACGTCCATACCTTTTATTTTTTAGCATAATTAGCAGAAAAGGTCCCTACTTTTCAATATTATTGTGCAAAACGTCCCTACATTTCATTTTTAGCATTTTTACCCCTACATTTCACCTTTCATTGCGCAAAAGGACCTTTTCATCCATTTTTTCAATAAAATGACGATTTTACCCTCCTATTGAAATAAAACAAAAAGAAAAGAAAAAAATAATTAATTAATTGCAATCATAGTTCTAAATCTTTCAAAGCATTACAGATAAATCCTAAATTCTCCACTGCCGCCACTTTCACAATCCCACCAAGCCACCACCTATAGATCCATATAGCACCACTTTTCGACCACAACACATAGGACTCCACCACCACCAGCGTCGCCTCACTCTCCCCAATATCCTCCTCCATAGTACTGGTCACCAATCTGTCCGAAACAACCACATTTACAGTGATGGAGTCCGGTGGGCATGGTGGCCAAAAGGTGGTATTATGTGGATTTATAGTTGGCAGCTTGATAGGTTGTGAAAATGGTGGTGGTTGAGAATTTATTATTTTTTGTAATTTTTTAAAAATTTAAGGATTATGGTTGCAGTTAGTAATTCATCTTTTCTTTTTGTTTTATTTGAATAGGAGGGTAAAATCGTCATTTTATTGAAAAAATAGATGAGAATGACCTTTTTTGCAATGAAAGGTGAAAAGTAGGGGTGAAAATGCTAAAAATGAAAGGTAGGGACGTTTTGCACAATAATATTGACAGGTAGGGACCTTTTCTGCTAATTATGCTAAAAAATAAAAGGTAGGGACGTTTTGCACAATAACTTTGAAAGGTATGGACCTTTTGTGCTAATTACCTTTTTGATTTAACGGAGCATTTTAACGGAGAGTTGACAGAAGGACGTTTTGCGCAAAAAAATGTAAAGGTAAGGGTGTAATCCACCAAAAAATGAAAGGTAGGGACGTTTTCCACAAAAACATTGAAAGCCCAAATGGTTACTAAACTTTGCCAAAGGTCCAAAAAGGTCATTGAACTTTTTTAAATACAAAAAGAAAAAAAAACCAAAAAAATCAACAAAAAAAATTGAAAAAACGAGCCCCACCAACAAAAAAAAAGACCAAAAAAAAAAATAAAAAAAAAAAAAAAAA